CTTTCCCTTCCTCTTACCTGTGTCCTGGACATTCTCCTAAACAGGATGAGTTACCTGCATGAGCATCCTACAGGATTTTGGACCCTCCCCACGGGCATCCCCCTAACTCCATGACGTGGATAACTTTTCATGTGGGTTTCTGTAATTTTCTTTGGCTCCCCTTCTGGACCCACTTCTGGGGTCAGTGTGGTTTGTCCTCCCACTTCTGAGATGGTTGGGTCCACTTCTGAGGTGGCTTGGTCCTACTTTCTTCCCAGAGAGTTGGGGTTGCCCCACCCTGTGCTATGGTTTTAACGGTCCTTCTTTACCACAGAAGTGATCTGTCAGATCTGCTGTTACATTATTGATGTTTGCTTTACTAGCAGGAAGTTTGTGGTAACCTCGAATATGCTATCTATGTTTGTTGCTGCCATTATTGTTTACTGTTATTATTATCACTATTACTTACTGGTGCTATTATTTATCACCATTATTATTGATTGCTGCTATACTACTGATTGCTGGTATTAATTTGTAGTAGCATAGGATAAATATTTGCTTTATTAACCATAGGTATACTTGCTAGTATGATTTTTGTGGTAATTGGTAATGAAGTAGGTTAATTTTGAGGATAAAGCCGTTAGGTCCCTGTGTTTTACAGAATCCTACAAGCACCCAGTCACAATCGGTGCACAGCTACAGGCCAGGTAACCCCTTAGGTCGTGAGGACAGGGACAGCTCGATGACAACTACAGCTGTGGTCAGCTAAACTGCACCCAGAACTGCATTCACCATATTGAAGATCTTCATTCCACAGGCTGTGAATTGAGGTACTGAAGTCTTTTTCTGTAGGATCTGGCTTCCTCCATCTTCGTTACCCCTCCTTATCTCCTTTGTTAGATACGGGAAAGAAGCAACAGCAGTTGTTGGAGCTTCTTCTGGGCTTGAGTCACAGCACCCATCCTGCTCCGTGTGCACAGAATCTCTGCAGGGCTTATGAGGGAGATTGTCACTGCTGGTTGGGTACCATCATTCTGGTCTATGCCTCCTCCCTCAAAACGGCATGACCAGCACACATGCAGCCCTTGCTCTCTCTCTGCAGCTCAGATGATTTGTTCACGTTCCTTAGAAATTTTGTTTTCCATCTCAGTGATGACACTACTGGGCCACAGAACCCTTAGAACTACATAAAAACATGACGCAGATTTTTAAAAGAAGAAAAAGAAGTCAGTCCTGCAGTCTACCTAGAGACAGGATCCTTCAGGGAATGGTCTGAAGGTCTCAAAGGCCTCTGTGTGCAATTATGTTCTGTGTACAACAAGCAGTCACAGCCTGCTGTGAACTGTCAGAGAGTCACTGGAGTCTGTGGAACCAAGGCTACTTAAAGAAGCTTCTGAATTCTCCTGCACCTGTGACTTCAAGGAAAAAAAGGAAACACAAAAACCTGGAGAAGCCTTATGAGATGGGAATAATGTGTAGCTGATTGTCTTATTTTCGTGTGACAAGGCTCAAATTTTGGTCTCCTTCAGCCTCCTTTTGAACTTCCTCAAGTTTCAGTCTTGTAAGTTCTTGCACCCAGTGTCTGTGATTTTATTTTGGAGAGATGCAGTCCACATGTTCGTAGGAGACATAAATGAGGAGACAGGTTGGATTGGTTATTAACATTACAGAAAGATGATAGATTCATTATTTTTTATATATAAATTACATTTTGATAAATAAGCTTATACTACACTTATATTTGGGCAAAAGAGTGAACTGAAAAGAGTAATAATGTCAATGTGAATGAGGTGGTGATTTGAAACAGGCTTCATAAGTCAGCTTCTAGTCCGTTCAGTATTCTGTGGTTAATGACAGCGTTGGGCATCTATTTAAAATGAGTCATCCCATCTGAAAACAGGTGTGTCAAGTAGCTGGAAGAGAACACACCAAGCTAGGGTCTGCTTCTGGATGACTTAAGGAAAGTCCTGGATTTAACCTAGGATAGAGTCATGTTAGTTGGCAAGTAAACCCAGTTCATGAACTTCTCAAATATTTCAGTGGTGTTTTCTAAAGTAATGTTGAAGAAGTCAGCCACCTTTGGTCAATATCCAGGAACTAGAATTCTGTGTCATTATTTAATTTTTATTTCTCAAGCTGAAATTAATTATTTAAATTTCTCGTTTTCCTAGGAAATAGTCTATCAATATAGTTTTTAATTTACAAGAATTGGTACAATAATTTTTCCCATTAAAAAAAAAAGTACATTCCACATGCAAATGGTTTCAACAGGCAAAAAATAGTGCTAGAGGATGACCAGCTTTTACTTCCCAATAACTTCAAGATCACAGTTCTGAGACATCTGAATCCAAAAAACTAGATGCTTCATTTATCTAGCACCTGTTAATGCCTTTGAAAATTTGATCAAAGATTTAGTAATCAACTAGAATGATGACGAACAAAGGAATTGGGGGTGGGCTTCATCAGCATGTACTATAAATGGCTTCTCTTTGGATGCCTATTCCTGTACTAGTCATCTATGTTTCCCTTGCTATTGACCTGTACTTTTGATGCAGTGTATGTCATCTTAAGGTAGGTGTCAGTAGGTCAGATGAACTGCCTGTTTCTTTCCATTGACTGAAAGGGAAACCTCCAAGGCAAGCATCTAAAGCTTAGTCAGACAAATCCTATCATCTAGGGATAGGTTGGGTTTGGTTTGGGTTTTTTTTTAATTTTATCTGTCTCATATTCTGCTTTCTTCTTTTCTGGTCTATGTTTAAACTCCAAGGCTCAGGTCCACATTTCTTCATGGAGGAGAAAAATTCCACTCAGGTCCACATGTTCCTCTTGCTGGGATTCCCAGCCCTAGCGGACTTGCATGTATTGTTTTCCACAGTATTTCTGCTGACCTACATTTTAATTGTTTTGGAGAATGTGGTCATCATTGTCCTGATCAAGACAAACTGTGAGCTCTACAAACCCATGTACTTTTTCCTTGGTCACCTCTCCTTCATTGAGGTTTGGTACGCCTCAGTCATTATCCCTAAACTCTTGGCAAATGACATTGCTGAAGACAGGAGTATTTCCTTTGTGGGATGCATGACCCAACTGTTTTTCTTCAGCTCCTTCATATGCACCGAGTGCGTCCTTCTCTCTGCAATGGCATATGATCGCTATGTGGCCATCTGTCAACCACTGCGGTATCTGGTCATCATGACATACCCAATGTGCACATACCTTGTAGTTGTCTCCTGGTTCAGTGGGTTCACTGTGTCTTTGATCAAGATTTCCTTCATCTCTCAGCTGAATTTTTGTGGGCCCCATGTCATCAACCATTTTTTCTGTGATGTTAGCCCTGTGTTGAACCTTGCCTGCACTGATACGTCTCTGGCAGAGATGGTAGACTTTGTGTTGGCCTTATTCATACTGCTTGTTCCCCTCTTCATCACTATTGTCTCCTACCTATTCATTATCACGACAATCCTGCACTTCCCCAATACCCAGAGTAAGAAGAAAGCCTTTTCCACGTGTTCTTCCCACCTAACTGTGGTCACTGTTTTCTTCTCCACCACGCTCTTCATGTATGCCCGGCCTAAGAAGATTCATTCTTTTGACTTGAATAAGCTTGTGTCAGCTGTATATACTATTGTCACTCCCATCCTAAATCCCTTTATTTACTGTCTGAGGAATCAGGAAGTGAAAAGAGCACTGAAAAAAGCTCTCTGTGAAATAATTCCTACCTTTTTTCTGCTCTCCAAATGCAAGGATAAGCTATGATAAACTGGAACTGATAAGCACACCATAAGGATATCTGGCTAATGACCGTTCAAAATGGACACAGTGAGTGATCAGAGGAACAGTCATAGGGTGGAAAATGCTGACAACCTGATCCATCTGAATCAGACACGCCTAAGACCATCCGAGGTGAATGACTGAAACATTGTCACTGGTGCAGAAACCTACTAAGGTTATTCAATAAACCAAACTCCCCTGAGTGCTATGCAAACTAAAAGGGATTACTGTGTAAATTAGTATAGGATTTACTGGAGGGAATATGGGATGGAGATAAAATTTGCAATTAAACAAAAGAATTGGAGACATTACAGGTTTTCTGGGGGAAAAGGCCAAAGGAAGATAAAGAAAGTTAGCAAGCATAGGAAAATGAAGAGGAGATAAAAGGGACTGGCTATGCAGAACCAGGCTGTTGATCAACACACTTGTTTGGCCAACCACTGCACCTGGTTACCACAATCTTTCCCATCCTTTTATTGAAGTATTTTCCTTTCTATGTCATGCCTCAATACTTTCCCTTTTATGCATGCGTGTAAGTTGGCAATGTACTTTCCTTTCTATGTCATGCCTCAATATTTTCCCTTTTATGCGTGCATGCGTGTGAGTAAGTTGGCAATGTATATAAAACTATTGAACAGGACAAGAGGCCTGAAAGCCAGATTCTGGACTGATGGACATTCAGGGGCCAAAAATTGGAGAAAGTGTTGTCATGGACCAAGACACTGGAGAGACCGTAAGTCCGAAGTCCAACTACTGGATAGCTGGGTCTCTGGATGTCAGACATTGAAAAGACCAAGGTCTGGGAGACCAAAATTGAGGACACAAAAGGTCTGGTAGACACAGAAACCCATGAAGGGGATTTTTGATTAGTAGAGATCCACAGTCATGCTGTCTGTGTTATGTGGAGGCCTGTAAAAACAGTGTCCTTCTGTCTGTATTGATCTATTTGTGGCTCTGTGTGTACGTTCACCAGCTGGAAATTCATGCTCAGGCTTACTGCTAGTGGTGGTGGACTTGGAATTGTTAGGTTAAGGGTTGAACTTGATGATCTTAAAGGTCTTTTCTGACCTAAACAATTCTATGATTCTAGCAGGACATGAAAACAAGGGTAAGGAGCAGTGGTTCAGCTCCCATACCCAGGGCTGCATGAATTCCCTAGCAGTACATTTAGTGTTACTCTTAACACCACACAGTTGACTATAGCACTCAGAATCTCTTAAAATTCATCAGATTTGAGATCGCCTATGTGCGATGCAGCAGCTAAATTTGTATCCATTAATTCTAATGCAACAATTCTCTCACTAGGTCTTGTCATGGGCTAATGTATGGGCACGTGGACTTTTTTAGAGGTTTAGGTGTGGGTTTTTTTGTAATTCCAGGTTCCTCAGTTCCAGATTATGTCTGTTTGGGAACTTCTCTTCTGGTCTTACCATGACAGCAGTAATCACAGGCTCAGCTTGGTCATAAAGACACAGATTAACTGATTACAAGACATAATTGAAACTCACTTTTTTGAAACAGGTTTTTAGCACATATATATCCATGATATGACATTGGCACTAGTAAAATAGAAAGTTTCACCAGGTGGAAACTGTTCTATAAAAACACTGTATGATCCCAAATGTCCCTTTGTTACAGTGGCCAGAGGGAGCATAGACAACCTTATGCTGTATCCTGATACCACTCTTCAATTCCATACCTACCACAAGGCATTGGTTTCTTACACACTCAATAAGAATTTCCCTCATTTCTCTTTAGCAGAACTCTCAAAACACTCTTTTCATTTCTTCCTATTACCTCCAGGGCCGTAGAACAGAGATACTGGGCAAAATACTAATAAAAACTGAAAATCGCAAAACCTACTAAGATGCCACAACACCCCAATTTGAATTGAAAAAATTTAAACAAGAACACACACATTTTTGGAGTTGTGCTAGATGACTACGCACTAGATGAAACCCAGAAGAGATCTAACGTAAACAGTATGTCATTTGGCCATGGGCAGTTTATTCCACAAAGTGCAAGCTGTCATTTACTGAGCAAAAGCCAGTCTGCACTGAATTGGTAGCAGAGATCTCTCTCTGCCTTGGACCATGAAGAAAGCATGTGTGTAGCCTTTGCCAGCACAGTGCAGAGCTGAACACCAGGCTGTGTCATGTGGAGAGGCAAACACTTCCTTCACAACCTTGTAGCTTAAAAAAAGTGCATCACTTAATTCACAGCCTGCAGGCCCCAGCACTGAGGATAGCTTCATTCCTGATCATTCTGATTCACCTTGCATTGCAATAAAGCTGGCGTTGAAACTCAAATCTTATGTCCTCTTACATATCTTCTTACCTCACATTAAGCAATAACATACTATTACTTCGAAGTGTATTACAAAACCTTGTCAAGTCTTTTGTTTGTCTCAGGAGCAGTTGTTCACAGTGGTCAAGAGTGCTGGAAGGAGCAGTGAGTGCTCAGGGAGGGTGCAGAAATGCTGCTCAGTTGTTCAGTGAGAAAGGATTGTGCTGACAGAACATCTGTCCTGTTTGTAATGCCCTTTTTTTGGAAGCTGCAGTCACCATCTTTAGAAGTCTTGAGGAAGTTCTTTAACACAGTGAAGCAAAAATAAAATGGGCAGGAGAGTGGAACGCAGCTCAAGGTGCTCGACGTGGTTGTCTGAACATACACACTGGTGTCATTAAGGTGCTCTTTTATACCCAAGCCTTTAGAACAAGTGTGTAGGTTTGGTCAAGGACCGACAAGACCTGCGTGTCATTTTGAAGTGGCAGCTTGAAGTCCATGAAGGATACCTTTGAGCAGCTGAAGTGACAGGAAGCTCCTACAGCTCAGTATTTGTATCCTGATGGAATTAAGATGCTTAGCTGACACGTGGACATCTAAGCCTGGATCTCTTCAGAGTCTGTTGCCAACTTCCAGGAGTCTGTTCACTATCTCCTATTGATACCTTGCATGTTCCACAGGATTGGCACATATGAAGTAGAACTAAAGGGATTCCTGTGTCTTTTTAGAGCATCAGGTGGAGGACACACACATCTCTTATATGATCCCTATAGACGCCTACTTTTAGGCAACCAAATCGAATCTGTGCTCTTATAACAAGTAGTTTTAAATGTCTCACTGTCAAATACAAAATGCTACAACATGGATCTGAATTGTCAAGCTATAAAGAATGAAATCTTTAGTCTAAAATCTGTTGATTGCAAATGCATGGCCAGCTGGGACAAGGTATCATCTCCAGAAATCATACCTGTAGGCAGGAGTTTGGTCTCCATTCTCTGCATCTCTGGCCATTATGCAGACAATTTAGAGTACCCCTTTGTTCTGTCCTCAGTAACCCAAAAGGCAGACACAGCACATCTAGTGTCTGAGAATGTCGTACACTTTTCATCTAACTCAACATGGAACTGCACTCCAGGCTGAAGGTGGTGAATGTCTGTGTCAAGAACAACAGCACCTAAAAATGAAGCACTTATTAACCACTGCAATCCAAATTTCAACCGGGATTTAGTGTCTAAACATAAGTAGATATCTAGTGCTATTAGAAATGTCCATACTTCACAGGCATGAAGTATGAGGAAGGATCTGCAACAGACCTGTTCCGTTCTGCATCCACAGGCAAAGTCTGGGTAGGATAATTGAGGACTTTTAACATCTGTAGTAGTCTGTGCAAATGCAAATCAATTGTTTCATCTTTGACCATCATGTGAATCTGTAAAAGTAGCTAGACACATAAATACATTTCAGTACTTAAATCTAGACAAGGTAAGCCCCACTGCTGAAGCTAGTAGAGGTGAAGCTCACATCTGATTTTGAGTTTACATTTCAGTCTAGGTTTGTTAGTAAGGTTCCCCTTATACGTAATGGACAGAAACAGACCAGAGGGCTGACTCAAGTCAAATGTTGACAACATTTGACAGGTTATGCCCACCCAAAAGGTAACACATACTAGCTCTCTTCAGCTGTACATCAAGTCTGAATGACAGGAGAGTCCTTCAGCTGCCTAAATATAGCCCTCACATAATTGTTTCATATCTTAGATTACCCAGGACAAGTGTATGGGACTGTTAGCGATACTGCAAGTCCTGCAAGAGACACACATACTTCTGTATTGGAAGCCAGAGACCAGATGGTGTACCACAGGACATCTAAAAACGGTGGAAGAAGCATCAGGTTGTTGAAGATCTCCCCTGATTTAGATCGATGCAATTAACTTCTAAATGTGTTAAACTACATGAGATAATCCGTAGTTTTTCAGTCTCTTGCAATACAGTGTCCTTCTGACCTCTTTCCTTATAAATAGGGGAGGTGGAATAACCACATTCTGAACCTTGTTCTTGCTCTTGTCACTTTCCTCCAGGAAACAGTTTTCTCCCCAACATTTTTTTCAGAGCAGATCTCACCTCCTGGTTCCTAAGAGTGTAGATGAAGGGGTTCAGAGCTGGGGTGACAGCACTGTACATGAGAGACACTGGCATATCCCTTCTAGGGGAGACCCCTGAGGAGGGTGGTGTATAATTGAAGAGCACCGGTATGTACAACAGTGCCACAAGGATGAGGTGGGAAGCACAGGTTGAGAAGGGCTTCCATCTTCCTTCCTGGGACCGGACTTTCTTGATGACAAAGGAGATTATGTAGAGGTAGGAGAGGACTATGAGAGTGAAGGGGCCCAGAACAATAGATGAGGTGACAATGTTGAGGAGGGCCAAGTTGAGGCTCGTACTACTGCAAGCCAAGTTCAACAGTGGTTTGATGTCACAGAAAAAGTGATGAATGTGGTTATGGCCACAGAAGCTCAGTTGAGAGGCGAGGACTGAGTGCATCAAGGCATGCAAAAACCCAATGGACCAGCTGGCCACAGCCAGTATCAGACAAGTCCGTGGGCTCATGACAAGGGTGTAGCGCAAAGGATTGCAAATGGCCACATAGCGGTCATAGGCCATGGCGGCCAAGAGCACAACCTCAGTGCTGCCTAGGAAGTG